CGGGCGGCAGCTGCGGGGGAGGGCAGGGCTGGAAAGTGAGCACTGGCTCTCTGTGACACACTTGGTGCAGCACACTCGGTGTGGGTACACTCAGTGCGGGCACACTCGGTGCGGGCATGCTCGGTGCAGGTACTCTCAGCTCAGGGGCTGGGCATCGACCTATGAACCAGGAGCTCGGGGTTCGATTCCCCGTCAGGGCCCAGGCCCGGGTGGCGGGCTCCATCTCCAGTGGGGGGTGTGCAGGAGGCAGCCCGTCCATGTTTCTCTCTCATCGATGTTTCTGTCTCTCTACCTCTCCCTCTCCCTCTGAAATCAATAAAAATATGCATTTTAAAAAAGAAAAGAAGGAAGTAGCCACAGTCAGTCCCAAAATAGAAATGTTACTGGACAGACTCCGCAGCCCTTGAGGCCCAGGCGAGAGGACAGCGGGGCCTGGCTCAGGGCAGGGACCCTGGAGGCGCTGGAGCGTCTGAGAACAATGGTGGTGGCGGAACCAGGTTGCAGGGGGGAGTACTGGGGTGAAGAGGGCCTGGGGTGAAGGGGGCGCCTGGCCAGGGGTGGACTCGGGAACTGTCGCGAGCCGTGGCGTGAGGTAGGGGCCATGGAGGGGGGCAAGGACATGGGAATGGAGAAAGGACCCCGAAAGCGCAGACGAGCTTTTCTCAGAAACTTGGTGGCCAGAGGAAGGGGGGCCCGGGGCACCCCGAGCGGGCTGTGGGGAGAGGACACGTGGTTCTGGTCGGGGTGTCTGAGCAGACTGTGGGGGATCCGGGGAGAGCAGACCGCAGTCCCAGGAGGACGTGCGCGAGTCCGGGTGCGGGAGACGGTGTCCCGCCGCCTGCCGCTCCGGGTCAGGAGCTACTGTCAGAATCGCGTTTTTATGCAAGTTGATCAGCCCGGGGCCCTGCCGTACCTGGTTCTCCACTGGGGCCCGGGGGCCCCATGTCGCCCAAATCCCCCTTTTCACCTGAAAAGGAAAAGCAAGGCAGAGGTGGGACGTGAGCCACGAGTGAACACGTGTCCTCCACGTGACGCGTCACCAGAGACCGTCCTGCCACGGGGCCCGGCCAGCAGTGACTCCGACCCCCGGGCGCACACGGGGGGTAGAATGTGTCACGTGCCCAGCGCACAGGGACAGGCATGACCTCCGGCGGCCCGGACGGTCTGCGATTGTCCTCAGAGCAGCGGGTGGGTGCGGGCCTGGTGGGACATGAGGCAGCGCAGGGAGGTACCTTTAGAGCCGATGGGACCGATCTTCCCGTGGCGGCCGACACTGCCCTTCTGCCCCTTGTCACCCACGCCCCCTGCAGGAAGCAACGAGATCAGTCGGTGATGCACAGGTGGCGCCAAGTCCCTCCCGTTAGCATCACACTCACCCACTCACACTCACTCTCATACACTCACTCACTCTCATACTCTCACACACTCACACACTCACTCTCATGCACTCACACACACATTTACACACTCTCATGCACTCACACACACACTCTCACGCACTCATTCATACAAACAGTTACAACCACACGCACACATTCATACACTCTCATGCACTCACACACACACTCTCGTGTGCTCATACACTCATTCACACACATTCACATG